GGATAGGGTCTACTAAGTTGCTAAGGATCTTACTAAAGTGCTGGGGCTGGGCTTGATCTTGAGATCCTCCTGCCTCACCCACCTGAGTCATTGAAATTGTGCCACAGGACCTGGAAGAATTGACTTTCTTAGAATAAGAACAGAGAGAGAGAGAGAATTTTTTAATACTTATTTTTTAGTTTTTCGGCAGACACAACATCTTTGTTTGTATGTGGTGCTGAGGATCGAACCAGGACCGCACGCATGCCAGGAGTGAGCGCGCTACCGCTTTAGCCACATCCCCAGCCCTACATCCTTGTTTACACATTCGAAATCATTGAACTGGATTTGCGGCAGCCAATGTAAGCTGGTTGTAACCTATATCCTCCTTACTTCATCTCATTGCTGCTTCTACCCCCAGGTAGACTGGCCACATAAATTCAGAGAATGTCTTACTGGACACCAAAACTCTAATAATCTTTCAAGGCCTTTCGGATACACTCTCCACTGGAAAGCTTCCTTAGCCATAGAAGTTATTTGGTGGTGTCTCTCTGTAACTCTCCCCATTAAACAAACCTCTTAAACTCTTTTAAGAATTCCCTTATTTCCCTATAATTCTAGCTTCTCTGGTGGCTGAGGTAAGAGGATTTCAAGTTCAAGGCCAGCCTTGGCAATGTAGTGAGACTATCTCAAAATTAAAAAATAAAAAGAACCAGGGATGCAGCTCAGAGGTAAAGCATCCCTATGCCCAGTACCAACACCAAAAAAAAAAAACAAAAAAAAACGAGTGGAGTGGGGGGAGGAATTCCCTTATTTCTTTTCCTTTCCCTATCTTATTTTTCATATCTGCGTCTCAGTCCTGATTGCTAAAGGGGTTGTGTTAGGATGGATATTTGAGTAGAAATACACAGTGTTAAGTATGGCTAGACAGTATGATTTGTGATTCTCTTTATTAATAGTCATCTATGGAAATTTATGCCAGTTAGTTGAATTTTCTGAACCACAGTTTTCAAATCTGTAAAAGAAGAATTTTGTCTGCTTTGAAGTTAATTTGACAATTAGAGATGAATTATATAAAGCACATAGAACTAAATATATAGTAGGTAATACACAAATGATTATTATTTATGCTTGATTTTAACTATTATACTGATAGCCACTAATAGGCAGCCTCATGTTAGTTTGCATTTATAAAACTAGATCACATTCTTTTTTTAAAAAAAATTTATTTGTAGATGGATGCAATACCTTTATCTGTTTATTTTTATGTAGTGTTGAGGATTGACCCAGTGCCTCACATGTGGTAGGCAAGTACTCTACCGCTGAGCTCCAACCCCAGCCTTTGATCATATTCATTCTCTCTCTGTCTCTCTCTCTCTTTTTAACATTTTTAGTTGTATATGGACATGATACCTTTTATTTAGTTATTTATTTTTATGTGGTGCTGAGGATTGAACCCAGTGCCTCACATGTGCTCTACCACTGAACCACAACCCCAGCCCCTGATCATATTCTTTGTTATTATATCATCAGGTAATTTGGATCTATCTTGCTTCTTGTGGGAGTCCTAAAGAATATCTTATATGATTACAATATGCTGGGAGCAGAGATTTTAGACCATAGGTTCTTTTTTTATTTCATTAGAACCATGGATGCACCCAGGGGCACTAAACCTCTGAGCTACATCCCCAGCCCCCTTGAGGGTTTGTTTTGTTTTGTTTTTTTAAATACTTATTTTTTAGTTGAGGTTGAACACAATATCTTTATTTTATTTATTTATTTTTATATCGAACCCAGAGCCTCGCACATGTGAGGTGAGCGCTCTACTGCTGAGCCACAACCCCAGCAGCCCCCATGAAGTTTTTTGCTTGTTTGTTTGTTAATTACAGTCCAGGTTTTCCAACCCTGGTTTGGGTTCTGTGGGAAGGTTTCTGCTCTGGTAAGTTGTGACTTTCTTCAGTTTGGATGATAGCAGTTTGCCCTATGAACTCATTCCTCTGATAGACCTAAAAATGATTGTTGGTTTTTTCAATTTTTTTAGCTTTTTATTTGTTGTTAGGATGAAGCCTTCCAAGCTCCTGTACACTAGAAGCTGTCTATTTCTTTTTAGTAAGTACCATACAATTGTCTAAGCTACAATGTTAGATATTTTCATGAAAACACTGATTGTGATTACATTGATTGGAATGTGGGTGTTATCAAAACTACCCAGCCACCTGCTTAAAGATTATTTTAATAGAGTAAATTACTTTATATAATCCCTTTTAGAAGCCCAGATCTACAGAACTGGAAGTTAATGCAGAAATCATGTAACTTAATATCTTCGTATTAAATATTAAAAACAAAACAAAAAAAAAATAGCTAAATGTGGTGGTGCATGCCTTTAATCCCAGCTACTTGGGATTGCAAATTCAAAGCCAGGCTGGGCAACTTAGCAAGACCCTGTCTCAAAATAAAAAGGAATGGAGATGTAGCTCAGTGGTACAGCACCCCTGGGTTTAATCTCCAATATTGGAACAGGGGGAAAAGGGCCTGACATACACAATTTTTTTTTTTTAACTGAAGATTGAATCCAGGGGCACTTTACTTCTAAACTACATCCCCAGCCCTTTTTATTTTTTATTTTGAGACAAAGTTTGGCTAAGTTGCTGAGGCTCGCCTCCAATTGTGATCCCCACCGCTCTGCCTCCTGAATCACTGTGATTACAGGCATCCACCACTGTGTCTGACCTGGCCCTGAATTTACTAACTTTGTGCAGTGATTTCCACATCTAAGGCCCCTGATTTTAAATTCCTCAGTGTGTTGCTTGAGACCTCCGATGGGGCAGACAGGAGGCACCTGCCATGCAGGTTAAATGTTACTAGTCCTTCATTAGATTACCTAGGGTAGATCAGTCTTCTGGAGCTCTCTTTTCTAGTGGCAAGCTTTTGCCTGTCTCTCTCCCTTAGGTAAATACCAAAGCAAAATACTTCCATCTCTGAATCTCAGCAGGGAGTGTCACACCCCTAGGTTCAATCCCCAGTACCATTGCCCTCCCCTCTCCCCCATATACACACAAAAAAGTTTTTGAGAAACAAGTGTACAATATTATCCACCTTTGCCTAAAAGTGCCCCATGCCTCTGATCTCAATGACAGGGAAGGCTGAGGCAGGAGGATCATAAGCTAGAGGCCAGCTTGGAATACCCTGTCTCAAAAGAGAAAAGGGCTGGGGTGGTGGTAGAGCTCCCAGGCTTCAACTCCAGTACCACACAAAAAGTAACGTTTATTACTTTTTGCCCTAATTTTTTAAAGCAATAGTCCCACGAAGAGTCCAAAATCTTGTAAACTAACAATTTATAGGAAAGCTGGAGATGGAATGGTATAGAAATAATGGGGAAACAGAACATTCCCTTTATTCACATAATCTGCAAATATTTAACTCCTATGTGTAAGACATTGTTCAAGGACCTAAAAATACAGCAGTGAATAAAGTCCTTGTTTTCATGGTGCTTACTATATCGGAACACACAACAAATAAGTTATATATCAGTTGATAAGTGCTACAGTGAAAAATGAAGGAAGAAAGGTTACTATTTATGAAGTCTTAGGGAATGCTTCTCAGATAAGTCTTGAGCAGAGCCCTTAAAGACTATGTGCAGGGGCTGAGGTTGTGGCTCAGTGGTAGAGCACTTCCCTACCATGTGTGAGGGACTGGGTTCGATCCCAGGCACCACCTAAAAATGAACAAATAAAGGTATTGTGTCCACCTACAATTTAAGACAAAAGTGCAAATATATTAAAAAAAAAAAAGACTATGTGCAAACATCTAGGGAAAAAATATACCAGGGAGAGGGGAAGCGTGTGAAAATTCCTGACGTTGAAATATGCTTCGTGCATTTGAGGAGCAGCGCGGAAATTAAATATCTCAAGCGAGATATGGGAAGACCAGAATAGTTGGGAGAAATCAGACAGGCAAGAGTGGGATAAAGGTGCAGGTCCTTGCTTGGAGATCGAACTCAGGGACGCTCTACCACTAAGCTACATGAGAATCCAGTATTTTCTTTTGAAACAGGTCTTGCAACTTAGCCCAGTCTGGCCTTGAACATTCCATTAGATCTTCCCACTTTAGCTTCCCGAGTCGCTGGGATTAGACGCACACGGCCCTGTCTCCGCTGCAGGTTTTTAAAAAGTGGAAGGGCAAACCGAGCACGGTGGCCCGGGCCTGTAATCCTAGGGACTGGGGAGGTTGAGGCAGAACGATGGCAATTTTTAGACTAACCTCAGCAATTTAATGAGGTTCTATGAAACTCGGCAGGAATGAACCTAAATACTCACACAAGAGCGAGCTCTTCCACGGAGCAACTTCTAGTCTATTTTTGTAAATGCTTGAAATTTTTCACAATAATTTTGTGTAAACATTTAGTTTTAAAAGGTAATTCATCTTACGCGTTTTTCCTCCTCTAAACAAACATCCCCTGAAAGCTGTCTATAGCTAGTAAACCCAGTCGTCTGCTTTTTGCTTCTCCTAAAAGAGCAAAACCCAGTGTTCAGCAGTGGTAAAATAAATCCTTTGATTCGACAGCGAAAATTCGCGGCACAAAACAGACGCGCTCAGGGAAACGAATTTTTTTTTTCCTTGGGAATTAGTGGTTTTTTTTTTTTTAACGTTACTACAAACTCCCAAGACCGATCCTACTTCCACAAAGAAATCAAAACGCAAGACCCTTGTGATCCGCGGAAATGACGCCACGCGCTGAAAGTTGTCTGTGGGTTCCGAGGCGGGGCGGGGCGGGCACGGAAGTCAGCACGTCGCCCTTCTCTTCTCACGCCCAGCTTGGAGAAGATTGACAAGGGCGCCCGGGCTGGCGCCAGCAGCGCAGTACTCCCGCAGGAGCCTGGTCGACTGCGGCTGCGCAGGTATGCTGGGGCGTGGCTTCTAGTCATCCGCCCCTGCCTAGCCGGAGCGACCATTGAAGAGCGGCAGCCCGAGGGCCGGGTAAATCCCTAGCGCCCGGAATGATTAGCCCAGGACCGCCCCGCCCCGGCTCCTCCCGCCCTCGCGCCCCGCCTCGTGCCTTCGCCGCCCCGCCTCCCTCGCCTGCCCGGCTGCGGGGTGACACTGGGCTTCGCCCTGGGAAAGGGGCGAGGGCAGCAAGAGAGACGGCGGCCGGGTGGCGGCGACTGGCACCCTGTGTGAGCGCAGAGAGGGGAAAGGGGAGATTGGGAAGAGGGAGCCGTGCGGTGTGAAATGGGAGGGGTGCTTGGTAGTGGAGGGACGGTAGAGCGAGGGGCGGCGGTGAGGGGGCCAGGCTGTCCCGGGCGTGTCCTGCTGTAGTCCGGCTGGCATCGGTTGCGGGTCGGGGGACGCCAAGCTGGCGTTGCCTCATTTCTAAAGCTTTTCTTGGCAGCTTTGGCATATCTTAAATTTGCCTCTGCTTGGGTTGTCTGGGATGCGGGGAGGAAATTTAAAGATCCCCGTAACACTTGGAGGTTTTCCCGGGATCTTTTCCTAGCTGTGTGTGCGTGCTCCACTCTTCTTCCTGGATGGAGAGGTAGAGAGGCCAGGTGGACAGGTTGACTTTCACTCTCTGAAGATTGTTAAAACAAACAAACCAAATTCCTCCCGCCCTCCCCCACGCCCTGCCCTGCAACGCAACAAACATTCCCAACAACTTTAAGAAGCATACTAGAAATTTCTGAGAGATTTTTTGTGTTTGAAATATGTGCTTTGACTCATATGCATGAGGCCCTGGTTCCATCCCCAGCACCGGGTTTGGGGGCGGTGGGAGATGGCTTTGTCCTTACGTTTATAAAATGTATGTGAGTGAAAAGGGAGACTTGCACGTATTCTTAATGCATTTTTGGGTGTTCGTACTCATAAATGTGCTGTAGATTCTAGGACTTAATATTGATATTATATATTTTGTTAATTGCTGTGTTTTCCTGAATCTAAAGTGTCTATGAAATCTAAAAAGTATAAAAGTTTATCCCATTGATGGTGTCAACTCAAGCAGATAAATCCCTTGTTTCCGACAAGTCTAGATTCTTTTTTAAAAATACTACCTCTTTTGAACCAACCTTTGGACTTTGTTTTTTCTTTCACAGATTTATTTAATTGCCTAGCTACCACTGATGAGGATATATTGAAGTAACCACTGAAACTGCCTTTTGTTGACCAGAGAGTCCAATTGTTTCACTTATTTTTGTTTGCTCTACTGCTGTGAGCTTTACTGTAACGACTGAGAAACTTGGAAAATAAAATGAACTTGCTGTGGTCTTGAACATAATTTTTTGAGGAAAATAAAAGTGCCAGAGTGAAAGCCAGAATGGCATCCAGAGAGAGACTCTTTGAACTTTGGATGCTTTATTGTACAAAGGTAACTGCTTTCCTTTTTATTTCTATTTTAAAAATACTTCACTATAAAATTTTGTAACCAGACTTTATTTAATGGATAATAGGGTATTTATTCATTCTAATGGCCCCAAACTAAAAACATGTAAGGGATTTTCCATTTCCCACTCTTCAGGTTTGAATACATACATAATATTGACAGACTATAGAGTCTTTTATTTGATTCTTGTCTTCAGTTATTTCAAAATTGTATAAGTCAAATTATTCTCTTAAGAGGAAAAAAATAAAACCAACCTTTTCTTACTAAAAGTTGAATCCAGGGGCACTCTACCATTGGACTACATCCTCAGCCCTTTTTTAATTTGGGAAGGGTTTCCCTGAGTTGTTCAGACTGGGCTGAAACTTGTGATCCTCCAGTTTCAGTCTCCAGTGTAGCTGGGATGACATTTGCCATTATGCCCGGCTAAAAAGTTTTTATTTTTGTTTATGCTTTTTTTTTTTTCCCCCTACAAGTGGGAGTAGGATAGAGCCTTTTTCGTGAGGAAGGCATTAAGCATTTTTCTCATAGCTAACCTTTTAAGTTGTATATAAAGGTTATTGATTGCTATGCTAACACTTGAGAGCCTTGTCTCAGTTGCTCTTCACTACAGTTCTGGGAGGTTGATTTATAACTATCCACTTTTACTGCTGAGAAAACTGATGCAGGGGTGAACCTGAAACACAGTAGTGCCTGACTCATGTCCATGCTTTTAACTATTGTGGCTGCCTTAACATTTTTATTTTTGTTATTCAAAAAATAATTTCCTTTTTCTTCCTTGTCTTTATGTGTATTTTTACATGATAGCTTTGATTTTATCTTTGATTTTAGGTTATTGAGAAGAGTGTATCATAAAAACACATTTTCAAGTATCTACTCTGAAGATACTGGCAAGGGTCGGAGAAACATCCCTAATCTATTTAAGTTAATTTAGGTCTAGGTAGTGAAATTCTCAAGTTATAGCATTTATTTCAGCATTATCCCTTTAGCCTCCTTTCTTATGCTTTCAGTTCTTCAAAATATTTTTTTAACTTCTTGGTTTGATAGGCATTATAATTATTAAATGACATATACCTTGACATGTTTAATATAAATTTTTAAAATAGCTTTTAGTCTTCTGTACTTTAATGCCAGAAATATCTTTTTAAAAATAGACAATTCTTCCAATAATAAATTAATCCAAATCATCAGACTCTTGAAAATAGTAACTAACACATGTTGGCCAAAAATTTAAATGAAATTTTAATATGAATGTCTAGTAATTTAAAAACAATTTATTGAAAAGATAAGCTTTCATTGTTTTCAGAATGACAAAAGGTAAATGAGGTTACATGGTTTTATTAATAAATTATATTGTTTTTGTGTAGATTTAATATTTAAGTGACACAGTGCTTGTTGAAAAGATAGTGTATGTAGTTCCTTGGCATACACTGAATTTTATTCTTAGTGACTTTTTTTTTTGGGGTACCGGGGATTGAACTGAGGGGCACTTGACCACTGAGCCACATCTCCAGCTCTGTTTTGTATTTTATTTAGAGACAGGGTTCCACTGAGTTGCTTAGCACCTGGCTTTTGGTGAGGTTGACTTTGAACTCGAGATCCTCCTGCCTTAGTCTCCCTAGCCTCTAGGATTACAGGTGTGCGCCCAACTCTTAGTGACTTTTATATAAGTATGAACCCTTAAATTCATTTAAAATTTTCTGTTCTTAATAATGAAGGGTCCTCATGGTCAATTTTATTTTATTTTTTGCTGAGCTAGGGATTGAACTCAACTCTACTTTGTGCCAGGCAAACACTCTTATCATTGAGCTATTGTTTCCAGCCCCCTATGGTCAAATTTTGAAACCTGTTTTTTCTTGAATAGGAAGATAAATTCTTATTTTATGTTTAAGATTAAGTCCTGTGTAGCCATGTACAGTGGTGCATGCCTGTAATTCTAGTGACTCATGAGGCTGAAGCAGTATGATTTTGCAAGTTCGAGATCAATCTCAACAACTTAGTGAGACTCTAAGGACTTAGCAAGACCCTGTCTCAGAATAAAAAATAAAAAGGGTTGGGGACGTAGCTCAGTTGTTAAGAGCCTCTGGGTTCAATCTCCATTACAAAAGAAAAAAAATTATGGCGTATACTTAATAAGACATATTTTTTCAGTTGTTTTCAAAAAATATTTAAAATCATGTTTCATCATTTTATAGATAATGTACTTATTAGATAATAACTTTTTCTTCTGAAGACACCTTGAATAAGATACCTACCAAATCCAGCAAATAGATTTAATTCTTCTTCCTAATGAGGATGATCACTGAATACTTAGTTCTTTGGATTTTCTAGCTATAATTGTTCCTAGTAGTTAGCTCCTCAGAAATCACCTGACTTTTCCCCCATCCAACAAACTTTTAAGCCTTTTTTTGTTTGCTTTTTACAGTTTTGATGAGCTTTTACATGACTTCAGGACTGCTCAGATCTTTTCGTAAAAATGTTTTCTGTAACTTAGTTCTTAGAATTTCTTAGACTTTTTTTGTGGGCTTATAATTGTGAAGTCTAATTTTGATTCTGCTGCTATTCTCTTTTGTGACCTTGAGCAAGACTTACCTCTTTGAGTCTCAGTTTTCTTATTTGTTGAGTAAGAGTGTGTATACAGGGAGAATGTTTTGTCTTACTTCTTAGTTAAGATTTTTGTTTGTTTTGACCTCTGAGGGATAGGTAGGATTTTTTTTTTTTTCTTATTCTGTAGCTTATTGTATAAAACCTTTTAGTTGTCCTTTCTTAAGCTTTCATTATGGAAAATTTCAAGCATGCACAAAGTAGAGAAGAATGGTTAACTGTTTTGTATCTGTCACCTTGTTTCAACAATAAGTTTGATAAGTTTGTATTCAGTCATTTTTCATCTCTGTAACCTTTCATTTCCCCTATATCTATCCTGAATCATTTTAAAGCAAATCCCAATTTGTGATCTTACCCATAGTTAATCTACAATACAGTATTTTTTTGGTATCAGGGATTGAGCCCAGGGATCCTTAATCACTGAGCCACATCCTCAGCCCTTTTTTTATTTTCCATTTTGAGATAGGGTGTCACTATGTTTCCCAGGGCCTCACTGTGTTGCTGAGCCTGGCCATGTTGGTGATCTTGGCTTTCAACTTGTGATCCTCTTGCCTCAGCCTCCCAGAGCCTCTGGGATTATAGACCTATTCCACAAAACCTGGTCCAACACAGTAATTCTTTAAATTATCAAATTTGTGGTCATGTACTAACTTTTCTGCAAGTGTCATAATATTCTTATTTTCCCACTGTTTAACTTAACATTTATTTATGTATTAAAAAAATTTTTTTAGTTATTGGTTGACCTTTATTTAATTACTTATATGTGGTGCAAAGGATCAAACCCAGGGCCTTGCACGTGCTAGGCGAGTGCTCTATCACTGAGCCACAACCCCAGCCCTAACTCAATATTTAAATAAAGTATAAGCATTGTATTTGTTGAAAATATCTGTGAAACTTTTAAATGTACAGGTTCCTCCTTACCAGACTTTCTTCCTTGCTGTTTGTTGAAGAAATCTTTTTTTTCAAATTACAAAGAATTTATTTCTTTAATACAGAGAATACAACACATTCAAATAAAGCAAAAATAAAAATAAAATATAATTTCATGAAATGAATTAGAAACTGAATATAGGCATAAAACATTATTCCTACATCATAGAACATATTGTTTAAGGGTAAGAGATTAATATAACCACAAAGAATAATTAAGGACAAGATGTCAGAGGACAGATTTCCACAAATGAGATAGAGTAGTACAGACAATGGGACAATTCATTCAATACTGATATTTAATGAAGAATATCCTGAGATCTGAAGAATAGATGCTAAACTCCTAATAGGGAAAAAGCACCCAAAAGCTAGTGATAACATGTGTGAAGATTTGAGAATAAACATGGAAAGTTTCAGGACCTGAAAATAGATGCATTGCTATTAAGTGAATTGTGTTCCCCCCAAATTTATATGTTGAAATTCTAACCCTCTTGTAACTCAGAAATAGAACTATATTTGGATATAGGTCTCTTTATTTTATTTTTTTCTTAAAAGTTAGATTTTAAATTAATATAGACTGACAGTAGTAACCCTTAAAAATCAAAACATTGACAAAAAAAAAAGGAACCAGGTTTTTGACCTCAGAGTTTTCTAAACTCTGTTTTGTTTTTGCTAGTTGACTTTCCTTGATTTTAGTTCTCTCTGCTGATGTTTGTAGACTGGCTAATATAATACTTAAACTGATTCAGGTTCTATAACAGATATAGAAGGCAGTCACCAGTGATTTTTGCCTAACTGTATTATTTCATTAGGATTTTGCAAAACTATATTCTTTTCATTTATTAGAACACACAGAAATATTCCTTCATCAGTTATTGATACATTTTCTTAAAGGGAAGGCATGCAGCATAAATGTTTGATTTAAAAAAAAAATTTCAGAACAATGATTTGATTTGCTAGCATCCTGCCAAGTTGTTTTTCTTTAGTATCAAATTCATTTTTTTCTTTTTCGTATTTTAATTGGTGCATTTTTATATTTGTACATAATGATGAGATTTGTTGTTACATATTTGTACATGCACACCATATAACAATATAATTTGGCTAATATAATTCCCTAGAACTTTCCCTCTCTCAAGTTCATCATTAATTATTAAAATTTAAACAATGTCTACTATTGTGCTGCCTTACCTTGTTTGTTTTTTTTACATAAGACATCACATACAAACTTGACTAAAGACAACTTTGAAGATTTATCAAGTTCTGGTTCAGAACAGTAAGGTTAAGATATCTTCCATTTTGCCACAGAGCTAACCTTGGCACAGGTCATCCACAGTGTATCAGTAATGGGTTAATATTAAAGTTCCATGATAGTGTTTTTATGGAATGCAATGTTTTGAAAGTTGTTACTGAACATTATAAAAGCTTAGTAGGTTTTGTAGGTAGTAGGACTT